ATGCTATCTAACCATCTCATCCTCTGCCGTCCTCTTCTCCTTTTGCCTTCAATCTTTCCCAGCATCAGGGTCTTTTCCAAAGATAGTCTAAACAGGTTAACTCTTAGACCCTTCACCATCTCAGTGATAAAAAAAACTAGTTCATCAAAGCTGAGCAGAATTAGTAACATTGGGATGTTATGGATTGGTAAGTAGTTAAAAACATAAAACACAGATCAATGCAATGAAGGCAAGAACAGTAAAGGGACATAAACAGTAAAGTTCCTCAGGAATCTATATTGGAACTGCTGTATTTTTAATTTGTCCATAAATGAGCTGAAATTAATGAGGCAGCAGTGAGGTAATTCTATTTGCTGATGACATCAAATTATTTAGGGTGATTAAACAACAAAAGAGAATGTTGATGTGTTCCAAAGAGTCTCTCCAAATTGGGGAATGGACATTAAAATCTTTAGAAAGGAATGAAACTAAATGGTGGGAGTTCCAGGACAGATGGGAACTTTTTTTTCATGGAGTGCATAAAAAATTCCTTAAAGTTGCTTTCATAAGATTGTGGCCATGGCCATCACATGGAGAGAATTAGACAAATTCATAAATGATAAGACTACTAAAGACTGCTACTAATTATAGTTATAATTTACATTCAGTAGCAGGAGCAGGCTGTGGGGGAAAAAATGAATAAGAGGCTAGGTGCAAGAGAACAAGCACTAGAATTTCAGTTCAGTTCGGTATTTCAACATTACTTTTTTCCCAATGGAATCCAAATAAATCTAACAGTAATAATAACATTCCCAAACACAGTGATACAATAAAACAAACAATACAGTTGAATAAATGTTTCCTTCAGTGTCTAAAAAGAAAAGCAATTCAGCTTGTCAACAGTGCCTCTGAAGTGAGACTGAGATCAAGAACTCTTTGTTTCAAACCTCTGTCAACAGAATATTTACAGTCAAATCAATAATTTCTATGATCAGTAGTCTATTTTGCATTTGCTGTAGGAAAAAATATTTACATGGGGAAGTATGTGTTACATGTAGCCAAGAATAGTTTAACAGTTTGTATTTTTGGTAAAGACTAATTTATTATAATTTGAGGCAATTCTGTTCTATTTACTTCAACTAGGAACTTAACCAAGCATTCCTCACGTGTTTAACTGAGTCCACAAGATCTTTATTTTTAGAAAGTTACAAAAGCAAATCTCTCTCATTCACATGTAATGTTCTGTGATTACTTGAAGCAATTTTTGATAAGCTACTAATTTGGATTTTTTTTTTCTGTATGGTCTGATACTTATGTCCAAAATAATTTTTTGAGCTAATGCATTTTTTTCCCAATACACTTTCAGGTCATTTTACAGCAATGATTTGGAAGAACACAAAAAAGATGGGAGTTGGAAAGGCAGCTGCAAGTGACGGCTCCACATTTGTGGTGGCTAGATATGAACCTGCTGGCAACATTGTAAACCCTGGCCAATATGAACAAAATGTTTTTCCACCAAAAGAATAATCTTTGTGGAAAGAGGACTATTTTTAACAGATTATGAAAAAGAAAACTGGGAGTTCATATGATTACATTGGATAAACCACTTACATAAAACAAAGTTGAATGGTACTTTATTCCTTTACTGATCATTTCAAGAGATGTTTAATGGAGAAGCAGTTTTGCCTACCAAAATTCACTTTTGTATGGAACCATCACTGAAGTATATAGGAAATGAGAAGCCAAAATATGGAACATACAAAATCAAGAAATGTAAGAACATAATGATTTATATCATTTCTTATTTGTACAGAATCACTTCTCTAAAATATATTTGCAAACTTTAATTTCAAAATGCTATAATTTTAATATTGTTATTTCAATACATTAGATTTTCAGGGATTTAAAAAAAAAAGGCTGATTTTAATTGCTTGTACATGCCATTCATCACCATAGGGATTGCAGCAGTTTTAAATATGCTAGACTGAATGCACACAGAAAATAATATATGTGTTCTAACATAAATTGCATGTGAAGTGCTTCTACCACGTGTTTGAGGATGTGATAAGCATGGACAACCTTAGCAGGGTTGTAGGCATTCTGAAAAAACAGCCGTCTCCACAGAGCACAAATCAAATCAAATCAAATCAAATTTTTATTATGGTCAAAGACCAGCATAAGAAGGGTGGGGTACAGTCAATTAAAAAGCATAGAAAATACATCAGAGTAAAAAAAGCTAAAAGATATGAAACAGATAGTATATAACTAAAAGGAATCTAAAAAGGGTAGGAGCATTAGATGGGTGTAGGAGGGCATAAAGGTTAGTATGTGGCAGACTATATCAAATTATAGAGCACTCTAGTATGAAGAACTAGATACTCATTAAGACTAGTTTATGGCCCAGGTCATCATCTGATGAATTGTAATCGCTGCTGTGCAGAACCTGGCAACATTATATGTTGTAGCAGGGTTGGTATCTGGAAGCAGCAGGGAGGTGTAGAATTGTCCTGTGCGACCTGGGTTTTTATTCAATAATAGTAAGATGAGGCTAGTATGAATATCTCTATAATACAGGCACTGGAGAAGCATATGCTCTGTTGTTTCTGTGTGTCCTGAGTCACAGGGACATTGTCTCTCCAGGTAAGGGATCTTCCTGTATCGGCCTTCAAGCACAGCTGAGGGGAGGGCATGACATAGTACCAGAGTAAAGGCCCTCTGGTGTTTAGGTACATTGAGTTTAGTTAAGTATGTCATCAGGGAGGCAGAGTACC